GGGGGCAGGGCAGGAGTTAGATTTAGGGGGGCAGGGCAGGTGGTGGCTGGGGGCAGGGTAGGAGTTAGCCGTGGGGGGGCAGGAGGGCAGGGCAGGTGGTGGCTGTGGGGGGGCAGGGCAGGAGTTAGATGATGTGGGGCAGCGGCAGGCAGTGAGTTTTGGGGGGTTCTCCCTGTCCCCTCATGTGACCCCCCCATCCCGTGGCAGACGTGGCGCGCGCTGTGGAGCTGCTGGAGCGGTTGCAGCGAAGTGGGGAGCTGCCCCCCCACAAACTGCAGGCTTTGCAGCGGGTTCTGCAGAGCAAGTTCTGCTCGGCTATCCGTGAGGTGAGACCCCCCCCGGGACCCCGAAACCCCTGTGTGCCCAAAGGCACCCACACAAGCACCCCCCACATCCAGTCCTGCACCCCAAACCCCTGTACTGTACTCCCACATCCACTCCACATCCCAACCCCTGTACTGCATCCCCACAGACACCCCTGTACCCCCATATCCACCCCACACCCCAACCCCTGTACTGCCCCCCACATCCACCCCACACCCCAACCCCTGTACTGCACCCCCACAGACATGCTTGCACCCCCACATCCACCCTGCCCCCCAACCCCTGTACTGCCCCCCACATCCACGCCACACCCCAAACCCTGTACTGCACCTCCACAGAAATCTCTGCACCCCAACCCCTGTACTGCACCCCTACATCCACTCCTGCACCCCTACCCCTATACTGCACCCCCACATCCACCCCTGCACCCCAACCCCTGTACTGTGCCCCACATCCCCCTGCACCCCCACATTCACCCCTGCACCCCAACCCCCTGTACTGCATGCACCCCCTGTACATTCCCTGTACCCCCAGACCCCCACAATCCTCCAGGCTACCTCCAATAGCTCTGGGACCCCCCTGCTCTGCACCCCCAGTCCCTCTGGCCCCCAAAAAGGGTTCTGTAGTTCAACTTCTGCTTGGCCCTCTGGGAGACGAGATCCCCCCGAGCCCCCTCCCCGGTCACCCCCCACCACACCCACCCTGACTCCCTCGGGGATCCCCTACAATGACCCTCCATGGCCTTGTCTCCTGCTGCGGCCCCCCCCAGCACCCCCCACCCCCCCAAGCCCTGAATCACCTGGGAGCCCCATGGCCTGGCTCAACCCCCACTGCCCCCGCCCCCATCTCCCCCCAGCCCGGCCGGACTCCTGGGTTCCCCCCAGCCCTCTCCTTGACAGCCCCTCTCCGGCTCTCCTTCCCCAGGTCTATGAGCAGCTCTATGACACGCTGGAGATCGCGGGCAGCGCCGAGATCCGGGCCCACGCCACGGCCAAGGTACGGCCCCCCCGGGGACCCCCACCCCCGAGAGCTGGTCCTAGGCACTGCCCCCCCTGGGACCCCTCCACCCCCGAGAGCTGGGCCTAGGTACCGCCTTCCCCCCCAAGAGCTGGGCCCAGGTACCGCCCCCCCATGGGACCTCCCATCCCCGAGAGCTGGGCCTGTGTACCATCCCCC